GGCTTGGCTCTTAAAGGGATCCTAGGCCTAAGAGGCTTCTCCCCGGCGAGGTCGCTTGCTTCGGCGGGAGGGCTTGGTTTGCTTCGTGGCTGGGTGCCGAGGGGGAAGCAACTGATGGGCCTGAGGCAAGGAAGGAACTGCTACTGGTGCTAGTACTGAGAGACCTGATGCAGTACTTGTTGCTGGTAGAGTTGGAACTGCTACATTTGATCTTGCATGACTCGCATGCATTGCACTAGGTCTTCCGGTTTTGGTTGGTCACTAGGGGCACAACCGAAGCTTCAGCAAAGGTCGCTCCAACCGTGGAAGGGAGTGGAGCATTCACAAGTGCCACTGCGAGAGGCACGTTCAGGCTGGGGATACCGTCCACAGAGAGGGGAATGGTGAACTGTCTGATACAGACAGTGGGGAGTTGGGGTTGCTCCCCAGAAGCGTTCTGGCTGGCACCACGTCCGGCGTTGCTGGAGGAGGCCATGAATACTAGTTCTTAAAAGGAAATTGTAGAAGCTTAGAGGAAGGCTTTTTGAAGTGTATTCCCACAGACGGCACCAAATGATGTTGCGCAATCCGGGCACTCCTAGCTGGCGGCTGACTGGATCCTAGCTGGCGATGGATGATACCTGAGAAGAAGACGGTGAAGGATTCCCAGGGGACTTGCCCGGTGGGAATACTCCGATGCTTAAATTAGAACGTTGGAGAAAGTAGTAAAGAGTGCAAAGAAGGCTAAGAGTGTAGGTCGCGCTAGATCGCTGAGTTAGCTCGAGAGAAAGTTCGAGTAAGTTCAAGATATTCAAGATAAGATATATGATACATTTTCCCCTTTGACCTAGGGGCTCTTAAATATGGGCGTTCTTGTCAAATCAGGCGTAACCGCCACTAGGCCTCTGTCGCAGCCGTTATCTACCAGGGCTGTGCAGGTGACCGTTGTAGAGTACTATCTAATCGGATGAGTGACACGTCCTGGAAGGACAAATACGCCACCATTTGTCAAGAGACGTGGGTGCAGTTTGTCGGGCTGGCAGGGACTGTGCCGTCAGTCAAGAGATGTGGTGCAGTCTAACGGGTACGGTCTTGTCAGATAGAAGCTTCCTGAAAATGTCGTGTCGCTTAGTAGCGAGCTGCCTTGTAGCGAGCTATCCCGTAGAGAGCTGCCTTGTAGCGAGCTATTCTGTTGCGAGCTACCTTGTAGCGAGCTCCCAGGGGTACTTCAAGGTGATTCCTCTTAAGGTTACCTTTGGGGCAGTTTTTCTGCCTAGGTTTTAGAGCGAGCTGATTATCCTAGCTCGTGAGCTGTAGCGAGCTCACCCTATAACGAACTGTGACGTAGCGAGCTGTCCTGTGGGCTCGTTACTTAGTCGCGGTTAGGCGGTGGTGCTGAGCTGTTACTTGTGCTAAGTCATATCCACGTGTTAGGGGTCAGGTCAGATCACCCTCCATCAAGTTTTATTTTCAGATTGATTTTTAAAACGATGAGAAAGAGTGTCTATGAAAAGAAAATAACACTTTGAAAAAATAGATGTACAAAAACAAAGAGAAGAATCAGGTAGGCAGGGAGTAAAAACAGCTTGTTTCTGACTAACCATTTAAAGATGTGATTATTAATTATAAAAATTGGAGGGTGTAAAATTTATCTGAATTGTCTTTATACTCCAAAAGTAAGATCTTCTATGTAATGTTGATTGTTGAATAGTAGAATGGGCATTAGAATTCCCCTTCGTAATCCCGGATTAAAAGTATTCAATACATTCAAGTTTACATCTAATCTTGGAATGTTAGCACGGATAGAAAGTTTGGAACTCAGCTAAGTAAGAGGAAATTATTCTCGAAAGAAATTAAAAGAAGTACTTTTCTTAATATATAGAGGGAGATGAGTAGGCTGTGGAGATGGGAAATAAATATATCTCTAACCAATGGTGGTCTGCCAAGGCAATTATTGGCATCATATTAAAAATTAGGTGTGTAAGTCTGGCCGGTTGGATTAGGTTTAAAGTCAATCCAGGCCTAACCCTAAGAATAGAGTTTAAGGCCCAAATCTGAGGTCAAGCCTAACCTAACCAATTTGGATCCAGCCCGTATTGAAAATTGATGCGATCGAGTTGGGTTTGGGTGTGGATTGTGGAATGGAATTGGATTGGTCAATCAGCCATACTAGAATTTGACATATATGTCTTTATTTATGTACTAGTAAATATGTACATGTATTTGTATGTGACAGTATCTCTAAGACAAAATTATTTATAATTTATGAGCAGATTTTGAATAGTTATAAGTGGGCAGTTTTTAGAGTGAGAGTAAAAGACATATATGCCCTCTTTATGCCCCTTGTATGCTGTTTAGATAAGGGGTAGAAAATGTCCAATAAAAATTTCAGTAAAGAGGGACATTCACTCTTTTATCTATATATATATATATATGATGAAGGAAGATTTGGCCTGACCTCGTAATCACTCAACACGTGGCAAATGCAATGGCTCGGCACAACAGTGCGCCCAAGGCGCGAGCACCAAAGGGAGGAACCAGTAGTCCGAACTCCCTACCAGGAGCCTGAACTCCCTACAAGGAGCCCGAACTCTCCCTTAGGCCCCGAGCCTCACACAAGGCAATGACCCGAACTGGCCCGCCCCATGGCAGTTCGGGACACACCTCTATCCGAACTCAAGACTTCACCTCGCTCACCACTCTAGCACTTTGCCTCCAGGACGCCAAACTGAACAAACCGTACCACACCTGACACCGAGAAAGTCCGTACCCAGGAGCAGTGCACCTGACTGACTTGGGATCTGACGCATGACAGCCGCACTCCAACGACCACCTGCCACCGCCACTTGCTACCGCCATCTCCAGTTGCAGAGACGGCTCCGACAAAGAGAGCAGTGGCGGTTCTATCCCAACAGAGGTTATGACACCCGAACTGGCAGGAGCGCAGGGATAATCATACCCGACTTGGCAGAAGCTTAGGAGTAAGTGCGCTAGGTAGTTATAAAAGGCTCCCTACCCCCCCAAAACGAGGTATGTGAACTTTGCGCCATCTAGTTTTATCTTGCCTTTGAGAGAATCTTAACTTGAACTTCGGAGCAATCTCACCGGGTTCCCCCCAGAGTTTCCTCATCTTCTCCGTTTCAGGTTCCCTGTAGCTCCGTTCGGAAGCAAGGTCGTTGACAGATAGGACCGGCCGGATTACACACCATATATATATATATATGTTCTACGATATTACAGAAAACCTTGATGATTCCATTTTTATGATTGCGCATTTGCACGGTAAGAAAAGAGGCAGCTCGCTCATCTAGTACGTGAGTCCTAATCAGCTAGCTGTCCTCTCGGTTGAGTATAATGGTTATTTCTTTCAATGAATAACCAAAAGGACGTATGACTACGACTGTGTCATGACAATTTTGTGAGGATGACAATCAAGCGAAAATAAGTCGTTTTATATTTATTGTTATAGTAGAATTTTGTGAGTAAAGTGACCAGTGTTTTTAGGATTTCTTGTATATAAGGGTAGCTTTTGAAGTTTAATATCAATAAAAGTAATATATTTAAAAAAAATTCAAAAATAGATTAACTTTTTAAAAATAATATCAATAAAGGGCAAAAATACTGTTCATCTTCTTTTTCTTGTCATTTGTTAACTAGAGCCACCGTCCGCTTGTCACCACCTGCCACCGTCGTCCGCTGTCGCCCGCCGCCGCCACCTTTGTCTCCACCCATCTCCGGCAATGTTGCCGGAGGTGGAGGCGGAGGTGGGCGGAAGTGGTGGCGTTGGACAGAGAAACCACCAGTGCTACCGTTGCCACCTCTGCATCCGGCCACCTCCGGCAATGTTGCCGGAGGCAGAGGCAGTGGCTCTAGTGAACAAATGGCAAGAAGAAGAAGATGAACAATGTTTTTGCYCTTTATTGATATTATTTTTAAAAAGTTAACCTATTTTTGAAACTTTTTTAAAATATATTACTCTTATTGATATTAAACTCCAAAAGTTGCCCTTATATGCTATTACCCCTACTTTTTTCTTTATTATGATTAAAGAAATGATTTCAGCACCCACTGATGTATATAATACTGAAGAGAATTATTCCATATAGTTGGGATAAGGCTTGAATGATGATGATGATAATGATGTTCTATTAATTATCTAAAATAATATATTAATTCAGATATTTATCCAATCAAGTGAGTTAATATCCGAATTGGGTTTGATTATTGTGAAATCTCGAATTCATACTTGAGTGAAGATTTTTTTATTTACACTCCCACTCAAATGCCCACATAAGCAGCATAACTTTAAAGAAAAATTAGTGCAAACTTAATTCATAAGTAAAATTAATATCAAAGTTTTCTAATAATTTTCCTTGGAAAAGAAACTCGGGGTCCATTATTTATAGAAAAAAAAAAAGAAAAAAATTAGGCTCAGTTTGGAAAGAGTATAAATAGAAATATATATGGTGTAAATACATACAAACAATACAAAATACAAGGTTTTGCACTATAAATATTTGTATTTGCACTCCTTCCAAACTGAGCCTAAATGTCCATTTGGTTTGCAGTCAGAATCAAAGCATGAACCAAAGTTGGTTAGAAATTTAGAATGGATTTTCATTCACTAGGGAGGGGAGGGAATGGCCATTCCCTCGAATGGGAGAATGTTATTCTATCAAGAATGTAAATCAGATTCTTGTTCTGCCCAACCAAATGATTAGGAGAATGTGATTCCATTAAGAATGTGAATCAGATTCTCATTCTGCCCAACCAAATAATCAGAATCTAAATGACTAATTCCAGACCCCACATTCCTACAAACCAAACAGACCTTTGATCTGAAGTGGTTAAGATAGTGAAAGGGTGTGCCTGGAATGTTCCCCAATTACCACTCACCAATAAAATAAGTTGGATTCCTTAATTGACTATGACCAATACAAAGAGATAAGGGTTGACGTCTATTTTCATAGTTTCTCACAAGTATGACCGTAATGGTTGGATGGCCAGGTCAGGCATACCTAACCGGCCGCTATAAAATTAAAATCAATGATGCTGTGTGCTCGGGGCCGCTGGAAAACTGGGGGTGAATCGATCGATCCGTGAAGTAAAACATGGGCGACGAATTGAGTGAAAGGTGATCCATGCATGTTTGTTTATTCTTGACGATTTGTTACTTCACCCTCGTCACCTTTCAACGTTGGCTTACTCTCTCCTTCTTATCTTAATATCCTTTTCTGTTTATTTGTGAACATTGAACAAATACTCAAATTTCTTTTCTTTCCTTCTCTTTTGCAGTTTTGCGGCATCTAAAAGAAAAAGTCCACACGTTACACGTACCTTTATTGTTCTACTGAAAGAGTTCTGACCTTCTTACATGTACAAAGCTTGCAGAGTATACTTTCTGGTTGTGGTTGACAAGGAGACCCCATATATCACAAGATTCACGCTTACGCCAATCTTCTGTGTCTCGCTCTGCCCTCCAATAAACCCATCAGTTCCAGAACTCCAACAAGCCAAAAACCCTTTATATCGACGAGGACCTTCTCCGGCTTTTGATCTCTAGCTATGATAATCCTTTGTGATATTCATTAATTCCTTTCTTTTTCTAGTTTTCAATTTCAATCCAGTCCTTACTATTGCAGCTGGTAGCTGATCTGATCGGATCGTTGTGTGGTTGAAACTTGAAAGCATGAGAAACAAGGCAGCTGCAAGCAACGAGAGCAAGCTCATCCGCTGCATCAAGGCACCCCTTAGAATTCTTCGCAAGGCCAGGGACTTCTATGTCCGAAGCATGAATGATTGTGCCAACCGAGTCAGTTATGGTAGCGTCATGGGTTGCCCTACAGGAACAATCTCCACCCTGCCAAGGAGCTTCAGTGTGAACTCGTCCAGACCCAACGAAGACGACGACCTCCGTGAATTGATTCGGGTTGCCTCCAAGAGGAGCCTGGAGAATAAGATTGAGATGGAGCTCCAGCAACAGCAGCAGATGGCTGGAGGGGTACCCAGGAGTTTTAGCGTAGGAATTGGGCGAATCGATGAAGATAAGCCTTGTAATTTCGACGAAGACTTCAAGGTGAAGACTCATTTGTTGTATCCAAGAAGCAGAAGCTATGCTGTTACAAGGAGGCCTGGAGTCTTCGTTTAATGGCTACTACAAAATTTGAATGTGCTAAAGACTCAAACATCAGGTAATTGAGGGACAGTTCCTTCTCCCTCTTCACTTCTTCTGTATCTTTACCTTGTGAAGCTTTTTTTTTTCGGTAAATCCAAAAGGGTGCTACGTTTCATGGAACAGGGATACTTCTTTGGTTGAGATTTATTTGCAGTTGAATTATTTGTTAATTGAGGTGCTTTTTTTCTCCATCTAAATTTATTCCTTTTGGAGATCAAACCGTATCTAATTCAAGAATCACGCCTTTATTCGTAATGGGGTAATCCATCCCCCAACCCTGGTATATGGTGCAGGCGGGATTCGATCCCAAGCCTAAAACTGTACTGTGTACTAAGGTCAGTAAGGTGTTGTGTTGCTGTTGTATGGTGGAGGAATAGAAATTGAGAAAGATTTTCTACCTTAAACTTTATGAAAATTGCTATTTTTACCTAAAACATCAAATTTAGTTTATCACACAAACAATCTGGATCTCCTACTTACAAAAATTCTATCCACACCTACCCATAATACACTAGATCTGTACATTGGGAACATCTCCCCATGATAACCCAACCTAGCAGATGAGAAGCCAAGAAATTCTGATGAAAGATGCTAGGAGAAGCGTTTCCTCCCCTCCCAGCACTAGTAATGATGCATCGGCCACCTCAGTAACTGGAGCCGCCGAGAGCAATGAATCTGTTATATTAGAATTGCCAATTAGAGCTATGAAAGACCATTTAAGAACTCATCAACCCTCAATTGTTTTCCTCTATGAAACTAAAAATTAGTTCACAAGGACTGCGGAGACCCTTGTAAATAGCGGGGTTTCATAACATGTTTGTTTTGGAGCCCACTGGTATTGCTGGTGGTACTATTATTATTGCGTGGGAAAGTGGAATTGTGGTCCAAATTATCTCCTCTCATGCAGAGAATCATTTACCATCACAGTTATTCCCAGCTTAAATGATACTTGGAGATGTAGCTCTCTTTATGGCGACCCTGACCCCAGCTTAAATGATACTTGGGGGTAGTTGGTTCTCCATTTACTTGGTCCAATAGGCGAGGTGCATGACATTTGGTAAGAAAACGAATAGATAAAATGACGGCCTCAATTCAATGGTGTCAAAAGTACCCAGAAGCATTCATTTCCAATGAAATTACACATGGCTTAGACCACGGGCCTATCCCCAAGATGTGGCAAGGATATCATCCTTTCTATTTCCAAGCCATGTGGTTAGACCACCCATAGTCTCTCTCTGGAGCATGGAACAACAACCATTGTAGAAGACCTATCCAAGGAACTTACGTAGGTGAAAGACTTAAGTATTTTCAGAGAAAAGGTCAAGATTTGGAACAGAACCACTTTTGGCTATCTCAAGGACAGGATCATGACCATTAAACAGGAAATCAAGAACCTCCAATCTCAAGACACGTACAACAACGACATGGAGAAGATGCTTCACGCTCAGCTCGCAAGAGAGTTGAAAAGAGAAGAAACATTATGGCAACAAAGTTCAAGAATTCAGTGGTTGAAAGAAGGTGATAGCAACACCAAATTTTTTCATTTTTTTATACAACTACAATTATCAGAAGGTAGAGGAACATAATTCATTGCATTAAGAACCAAGATCAGCAATGGGTTTTACTCGGAGGGAGAAATTCAAAAGGTAATTGTTGACTACTTTATTGATTTGTTTACTTGAGCTAACCCAAATCTTGGCAATGGTATTCCACAAGGCCCTTGGACCTGATGCCTACCTTGTTATTTTCTTCCAACACTATTGGGCGATTATTGGTGAAGATTTTATCCATGAGTGAAAAATTTGGTTCCAAGAAAAGAAGATTCTAAAATCAGTTAATTTTCCAAGCATAAGTCTAATTCCCAAATTGTGCCTGCCCAGAGGATATGTCTCAATACAGGCCTATAAGCCTCACAAATGTGGCTTATTAGGTGTTTGCCAAATGCCTTGTGAATAGGCTGCGAGATTGTCTTCTTTAGATTATTGATCAAAGCCAGTACGCCTTTGTGAATAACTGCCTTATCACTGACAACATTCTGTTGCCACACAAGGCGTTTCATTCCCTTCGTATTAGAACAAAAGGTAAACATTTCTTTATGGGGATTAAAATGGACCTAAACAAGGCATATGATTGCCTTGAATGGCAATGCATCGGGGAAGTACTAGGAAAGTTAGGCCTGAATCAGCATTGGAGGGACCTAATTCACAATTGCTTGTCTTTACTTGAGTTCACTTTCAATATCCCCCTATATTTTCATCCTTGCTGCCCAGGCTCTTTCATCAGCTATTTCAGAAGCAATCGAGGAGGGCTCTCTCACTCCCATGAAGATCAAAAGGTCTACTTTGCCCATTTCTCAACTCTATTATGTAGATGATTTTCTTTTTTTCTTTGAGCAGATATTTCAAATGCAGTAAAATTGAAATAGATCCTCACCAGATATAGTGAAGCCTCATGTCAGATCATCAACTTAAACAAATCAGAGTTAATTTTCAGCCGAAACACCCCTCACAGATTCAGACATATCATTGCAAGAATTCTGGGTATGAAAGTTTGCTCAGGTGTTTCAAAATACCTAGGACTCCCAACTCAGATTGAGAGAAATAAAACAGCTGTGTTTGCTAATATAGTGGACCGAACATGTGGTAAAGTCAAGGGTTGGAAGCGGGCTTCGCTCTCGTAGGCAGGGCATGAAACTTTAATTAAAGCAGTGGCTACACTAACTCCTCTATTCACAATGAGCCACTTCAAAATCCCCCTTAAGATCTATCAAAAATTAAATTCTCAAATGGCAAGTTTCTTCTGGGGCCAGAAGCTGGAGGAGAATCGCATCCATTGGTTAAGTTGGGGTTCTCTTTATGCTGCAAAATCTAGAGGAGGCTTGGGTTTCAGACGGTTAAACCTCTTTAACTAGGCACTACTGGCCAAATCAGGTTAGCGTTTACTACAGGAAGAATCCTCAGCTTGGGTTGCTACGATCAAAAGCATATACTATCCCCACAATTCCCTCCTCTAAGCTAAATGTGGGAGTTCCCCATCCTGGGGATGGACAAGTCTACTTTATGGACTCGAGGCCTTGTTCAGAGGATAGGAAGTGGTAGAAAGGTTGACCCATGGACAGATCCTTGAGTTCCCAACTTGCCGGACTATAAAATTACTTCAATAAAGCCTCCAAATTGTAATGTCAACACCATTAAGGATCTAATTTTAGATGAGCCCAGACGCTAGAATACCCAATTGATCATATCTTTGTTTAGTAGAAGGGAGTGTTAGATTATCATTAATATTCCTCTAGGATTGAATGAACCAGAAGGAGGTTTACTTCTGATGGAAAGTATATTGTAAGATCTGGTTATCACTTGGCCTGGAATTCGGATGAAGAAAGAACTCCAAGTAGACAACAACTGGTGGCTTGTAATGATCACAACGATCAAATCAAGATGTGGAAGCACTTGTGGAAGTTGAAAGCCCTAATGAAAATCAAAAACTTCATATTGGCGTGCATGTCTAAATGCCTTTGCTGTTAACAAGTCTCTTCATCAAAAGAAAATTAAAGACAGTAGCCTCTATCAAATTTGCTAGAATGCTGAAGATGTTTTGCATTGCTTGGTGTTGTGTGATTCTGCTAAAGCAGTTTGGACTGCCTCCACAATAAACATTAGACCTCAAAACTCTTGTGCAAAAAACTTCGGTGAGTGGCTACTTTGGATGGTTCAAGTAAATAGAGATGTGTCCATTAATGAAGAAGTTTGGTTACTCCAGGTGGCTATCCTTTGTTGGAAATTTTGGACTGCAAGGAACAATTTTGTTTTCAAGAATTGCTGCCCCTGTCCAATCCAAACTTGTTGGCAAGCTAATGCACTCATAGTAGAATGTTTAGAAGTCTTTGGTGACGGGAACTCCTCCCCTGAGGCAGACATCTAATCGGCTCCACTATTAGAATCCACCTCCACTAGAGTGGATAAAGATTAATTGTGATGCTAGTTTCCACCCTCATTCATCGATAGCAACTGCAGCTTGCGTGGCATGATCAAATACAGGTTCGATCCTCTAGACATATGGGAAAAGATTGTCCTGCGACTTTGCTTTGCGCGCGAAAGCTCTAGCAATTAGGCTGGCTTGTGAGAAGATTCGTAGATACAACCTCTCGAGGGTAATCATAGAATCAGACTACTTACAGGCTATTTCCTTCATCAATGATCCTGATATGGCTCGTTTTTCTCCCTTTGTTGCGATCTGGAGCGATATTATTAGCTTGACTCTTAATAGCTCTGCTATTTTTACTTATGTTAATTGTGAGGCAAATTCTCTAGCCCACGACCTAGCTTCCTCCTTGGCCTGGGATGTGGGTACCTCTGACAGTGTTTCTGTACTTTCTTACTAATGAGATCTTCTTAGTTACCAAAAACAAAAAAAAAGAATTCCCAAATAACCAAATTGATGTATGCTTTTCTATTAATTACTTGTCAAATTTCTTTTTTCAATTTTCCTTGTAATTTATGGGTTATACAATAACGTTTTTTAAATGGAAGAACTTTTCTATTTAATATTGTAACTGTATCACTAGATCGATCGTTGTTGATTCTATCCACCTCAAACTATAGAAAGCTCACAAGCTTTTTTCATTTCTTCACCTTCCAGTCTATTGCTCCTTTATTCTTCTTCTCTCTTTATCTCTCGCATACACATATTATTATTATTATTATTAAAAGAAAAGCAGCTAATGTATTTTTTTCTAATCCTGCCTTTGTTCTTTCCGTTTACGATCTTACAGAACTATTTCCATTTCTCTTTTTGGGATTCTTGCATCTAAAACCCTACCACATTGGCCATGGTCGCACGATGCTATGCTTAATGCTTCTCGAGGCAGATGTTTTAGGCCAATAATCAGAATTTTTAGCACCGGTAGGATCTATATGTCACTTTTTTTCTTGTAGGTTACCCTTAGGCCTTAGCACAAAGTGTGGGAGGCATCTCATTTTTTAAAAGCATCGGCTCCCATTTTGCAAGAAATTTAGAGTGGAGCCGAGATCACCGGACGCTTATTTTTACACAACACCTGAACCACTTGATGCCATCTAGGTCAAGGAGTTCATATCCATTAAGGTAAGCTTTCCTTAGATTGATAGTTTTTGATCGAGACATTTAGCATATCATCCTCAACAAGGGACGAATATACAATTACATTGTTGAAATACGAAAAGGTTCATAATGGGAAGATTTCGACACAAATTGTTTCCATGAACTGAACTGAGTGGACGAATATACATTTAGAGGCTCCCAGGCGGAATAAATGCCTCTGTAACACATTAAACAAGGCAACTTCATTTCTTTGTTTATTGTTTATTAAGGCTCTTTGTTATGCTTCCTTTATTACAATTTTACCCCTCGTATTTGGTGACTGTGATTCCCGTAAGGAAGACTTGAATCTTATTACTTGTTGGTCATGAATTATGGCCAAGGTGATTCAATCATATTTCCAAGTAAGTTCATGAATAAATCTTAAGTGGTTATTCAAGATTCATTAATTTGAAAATTTGTCCTTGTTTGTCACTAAGAATTATTCAAGATTTTTCTCCTACTTAAACAATTGAACCTCCATTGGAACCTCTGTTTAATTTTTCATACTTTAATCATTATCATGACAACCTCACATGCACACTTACTAGTATATATATATATAATGTTGCAATACATTTTGTCACAAATTTATATTGATCAACTAAGCAGAAACACAATACTAAGCAAACACCTCCTAAGTTTCCAATAATTTTGTGTGCTAATTACTACCAAGGACCCGTTTGCTTTTCGGTAAGTTATTTACCCGGGTAAGTGCATTTACCCAAGTTCTTTTATTTTCCAGGTAATACAATAACTAATGTTTTAAAAACTGACCTAGAAACAGAACCATTCTGGCCACCGGTTTTCGAGTCAACAGTTCGATCGTCCGGTTCGAACGGATTACCTGTTCTAACAAAAAGATTTAAAAAAATAAAAAATAATTAAAATAAAAATAGACAAAAACCATTAAACGGGTCAAATGAGCCGATAGCTCAACCACCTGGGTCAATGGGTCATTCACCAATTCAATGGTTTTTGGTTGGGGATCGGGTTTAGGGTAAAACGTAACCAATTTCCT